ATTTGCATCTGCAAAGCATCAGTTAATCAAACACAAAACAATCAGACTCACTTTTCTGAGTGGAAAATGTAATCATGCTTCATCATCTTTTGTGCTGTCATTAAGCTCTGACAGACTTTCCATACAGAAACTGACTCTTCCTAAGTATGTGCACACACGCAGCACGTCAGAGTTCTAGTTTTCTAGGCATTGTAGCAAAGCTCATAGGAAATACTTGTAGAAAAGTACTTTATAGGAGCTTTTGCTCTATATTATTATGTCAGTTAATGATAACAATTTGAAGGGGACACCAAACATGACCCAGGAAGGAAATAATAACCTCTGCACCCCACTTTTTGCAATTAAGAGAGAAGACAGTATGTTATTTAGCAAGACTGCTGCTAGTAAACCAGTATGTCACCCAGATCTCTAACACCAAACAGCAAGAGCAAAGAATTAATTCTCTGGTGACCTCTGCAGATTTAGCAATTCTGTATTTTTTTTTAATTAAAAAAAGAAAAAAAAAAAGGAAAAAAAAAAAGAAGGCAGCTATTACTGGACATAATTTCTAGTTATTTTAATTAATTTAATTTTAATCCCATGAAGAAATAATTTTTGCTGCCTTAGTTGCTAGCTATTTAAGATATTGTGGTTACATTTTTGGTGTCTTTGGTACATTTTATTGTAACACTGTCAGGGCACTGCATTCAATTACTACATCTCATGCTGTTTTACTCTCTACAAAGCATCATCCAAACATTTTCTAGCAAGTCCTTGTGGGTAAGTATGTCCTGTCCAAGAAACACATGTATGTCCATGCATTAATAGGTATGAGATCAGTATCAAATTAGTAATTTGAATAAATGCCTCTTTGGTTTGGCTTCTGTGGTCTTGAACCTCTTAGCTCAAGCTGCAATGGAATTTTAAAAAAATAAACACATCTTTAACGTTAAACTGAGTGCATTTGGAATACTAAGGCTTATCTGATAGCTGTCTGTTGTGCCTCTGCAGCGCTGAAATTTGTCCCAGCTTTTCACTGCTCTCTCCCTTTTCCAGACCTCATTATCTCTTAGTCAGCCTCACAGATGTGCCAGTTCCCTCTACTGGATGTTCCAGTTCTTCCCTCCATTGCTACTGCTCCCATCATGTTCATGGGGAAGGGACAGTCTCGATGGGAAGCACAAACCCAAACAGCTATGCAGCAGCAGAGTGACAAAGGGACTGAGAGTCACCCATTGCTGAAGAATGAGCTGAAACAACAGCTTGTGGCCAGGAGGTGGGAAGGGGAGAAGATAAGAGCAGCCATAGATTAAAGAAGGAAAATAGCTGGAAATAAAGCCTGGTAGGTCACAGCCTACCAGCTCATTAAAGGTGGTTGAGTGTGAAGGCATTGATGGAAGAGACACATCTCAGAGAGAGGGGACTAAAAGTCAGAGGCAAGAAGGCTAAAAGGTGTTGAAGTGAATTAAAGAGGCTACAAAGTCATCAACCAATAATCTGTGGAATGGCTATGCTTTACAGGCACCCTACATTATGTTCTATTTTTACTTGCAGGTTGTATCTCTATAGTCGAGCTAGAGCACTCATGTGGGAGATCTTGACCAAACACAGTGGAAGTTATAGCTAACACACCAAAAAATTAAACTTCACTGTCAATCATGACCCTGTTCACTGTATCATTTTACCTGGAGAGGAGACATATCCAGAACACTTTCACAGACAGGTCACAGAACTGAAGTGTTGGATGTCCCTAGAAGCATTTCTTTAAATCAAGTTTAAAAAGGAAACAAATAGCTGACAGTATATAATCCTGACACCCCAAAGTAACCTAGATTAGCATGCACTGCACGGTACTATTTTGAGCATATTTTTCCCTTGGGCAAATGCTGGAGATACTTTCTGATTCTCTGTGAAAATGGGGAAACATTAACAGTTCAAGGAAAAGGAAAAGCAGCAGTGACAATATAGAAAAGTGAAGAGAATGAAATCTCACCAATTTAGCACATCAGTACTTCTCATTCTTTGTTGATCCAAGGCAGTAAAGGGAATAGAACAGAAAATAAATAATATTCCTCAGAAAGACATAAAAATGTTAAGTCTTACTAAAATCCACATTTGCCCCGCCAGTCTCTCTTGCAAGCTGGATCAGCTTTCTTTGCTCATGTGAGTATTTTTATTAATTTAAACTGGAACTTTGCCTGACAAAAGAGTACTGGATCTTCCCTTTCTGGGCAGAAGCACTGTAACTACCAGCTGAAAAACATCAACACTCCAGATAAGCCATGAACTATTGTATTGGTTGATTTATTGCTGATTAAACACTCCCAAGTTGCTCCTAGTCCTGAGAATTAACATCATTGAAAAGCAAATGGGTTGTAGGCTGATGGTACTTTCATCAGTTTTGGTGATTTCCACCACGGGTATGTGCAGAGCTGAAAGCACAGCTCAGAGCCCTCACAACAGCAAAATTCTATTATTTTTTTCTTTTACTTGCATATCCTTGGTCTTACTAAATCTATTTCCTTGTTGCAAAGAAGGCACTCAACTCACCATTTAATGTTGCCAAGATATAAAAGATACTCTTACTATCTACAAATTTACAAATTCTACTAGTTCAACAGGGGTTTTTTTGAAAGAAAAGCATAGGCCTGCTTTTTTGCAAGCGGCATGGTAAACTTCAGTGCAAAGTCCTGTAATCTAAACAAATTAAGCACTAACCTAATAAGAGTACTTCAAAAAAGATTATGAAAATGTCGTGTCTTAATTGGCCAATATGCGTAACAATGCTGTTAAAAAAATGCAGCGGCTTACCAGCCCTACAGCTGGAAGTATCACCAAAGAGAAAACATTTTCACAAAAGATAATTTTCTCTTTTCTTTACTTTTTTCTTTTCTTTACTCTTTTCTCTCTTCTCTTTCCTCTCTTTTCTTCCCTCTCTTCTCTTTCTTTTTCTTTTCCTTGTCTTTTCCCTTCTTTTTTTCTTTTTATTGCAATTCTGCATCAACTGTGCTGCTTCGGGCAGATGGCCAAAAGTAGCATCTAGAATTATTGGGAGCAAATCTGTGTCATTTTCACTTACATCTCTGTGAGGCCATGCAGGATCTGGGGACAGAATCTCAGGGAGAGAGGGTAAATTCGGTGCTGACAGCCCCTGATGGAAGGTCAGGCTTCACTCCCTGGGAGTCACAGCCACCAGTTCTCCAGGGGTCTTTGCCAATGCTACAAACATGAAATCTTAACATGCATGATGTCTTCTACCACTACAGATACTTACAGTGCTGTCTCTCACTTGAAGTGTGCCTCGTGAATTCATGCCAGTAACTACAAGTGCCCCAAAATTCCAGTCCAGGCAGGCACATTAGGGGCAAATCTTGCAAATACAACTGGTGGGGAGCATAAATTGTTTTTCAGGAGCTGGGTGAATCATAATCAATTATTCTCAACATTGCGCTGAATACACAGGGAAGCGCTGAGGATGTTGTACACAGGGGACGGTGGCGAGACTTCCCCAAAAGGCAAAGGCTGGGCAGCACAGACTCACAAAACTCATGAGACTGATAACACTCAGTGGGGGAAAATAGGACCTGTATTTTGACATTTTGTGAATATCTTGAAAACAAAAGAAAATCCAGGGAGAACATATAAGAAGGTCCATTGGTCACCTCTATCTCCTCAAGGTGATTCAACATAGTAATATAATACTGGTTAGTAAAATGTGAATTAGAAAAGAGCACAGTACTTTAGCAATAAGAAACTTCATCACAGCATCTCTTGCTAAACTTTGCTTAGAGGTAAGGAGAGGCAACCAAATTCTGGATAAATTATAAAGCAGTTGAGTGGCTAGGGAAAGAAAGCTTGGAGGAGTTTAATAACAAATTTCTCACACACAAAAACAAAACTACCACTACTATGTTACTATTTTACTATGCCTGCACACAAAACCAAATTATAATATTCAATTATTAGGAAGCTGATGTGAAACACTTCAGAAAATTCAGTGGATTACTTGAATTTGCAGCGTCTCTGATGCTACAAGGAAAATTAAAGCAAGTACAGACCCTTCAGGCATTGAGTAGTTTGCCTTTTTTAGTGCTGAATGTTGGCAGCTCTCTTGCTGCTACACTGTTGCTTATGAAAAGCAGCTGTATTTAGAGATACTAATAATACCCAATAAAATCTATATTTTCTGAAGAAGTCTACCTCTTTCAACATCACAACACGCAACATTCATATCATCCAAGTTAAGACTTGAGAGGGAAGAGCAGGACTGATGGCTTAAAATGCTGCTTTATAGCTTAGCACAAAAATAGTTGAATGAAGATTATTTTCTATCAGACCTCCAAGTTTCTGGGCAGGGTAAAGAGGAAAGAAGACTGCACAAGAAAGTCAGGATTTTTTTTTCTTAACCCTCTTTCTTTTTTTCCTATAACCTTTTCTATCTTCTTCATATTCAAACTCCCATAACCAAACAAAACTTCCACAACCACTGGAGCATATTCTGGACAAGGAACCTTGAATTTTTTCCTGTCTTATTAAACAAATGGCTGCACCTTAAGTAGACCACAGGGCATGCTTCTTTATTCTCACCCAGATACCAGAGACCAACTTGCCAGGTGCGGTTTCTAAAACCGAGTTTGTTACACTGCTGTGAATTTTAACTTCACATACAAGTTTTCCTCACCTATTCAAATTCAACTCATTTACTATCTTGAGAGTTAAGAAGAAATTTCTTGATTTGCTTCTGACAGAAGGAATCAAACAAAGAAATGCTGAAGATGATAGTTTGCTGGATTGCTCTTTCTTCCATCAGTTATTAACCCTACAGAGAAAAATGAATGGTTTAAACCTCCCACTTGCACAGTTCTTAAAGCCTATTATGAGATTATATTGTCCCAGGCAAGCCCAATGAAGTAAATTAATTAATTTAGCATTAAAGCTCTGAAAACAATGTGAGGGGGAAGCAATTATTTACATACAGCACACAGATGGACAGACACTTGAGCAATGAAGTGATGTCCTACCTCTCCTTGCCGGTGATAGTGCTTGGGAGGTTTTCCCATCTGCTCTAGCATTTTGCCCTTCTTACTGCTAGCAAGCATCAGTCCCTGGTGGATGCCTGCAGATCTGTTGGTTGCCTGAGTTGGAGCCTCCCCCATCAGGGTGGACTTGATGGAGTTCACCTTGGAGCTGGAGCTGTCTAGCTGGGAGCTCTCCACGATCAGGACCGCGGCTAGTAAGAGGAGACAGCAGGAGCACTTATTCCACATCAGCACGATCATCTCCCCTCCCCCAAAAGGATTATCTTTTTTCTCCTTTTTTTTGGTTTTTTTGTTTTTTGTTTTTTTTTTTTGGCAATGAAAACAGAAGAGAGGGGGAAAAAGTTTTTAAAAATATCTCCCGAAGTTGTTTAGGAAGCAATGGATTTCAAAGCCACTCAAGGAACTGCTGTTCTGAGACACGGGAGAAAAATATTTTTTAGAAAGAATCCCCTAGGAAAAAAAACAAAAACATGTGTCAAGTCTATAGGCAGTGAGCAACTATCAGGTCTATGATGTCTCTTTCCTCCAGGTCCTCCAGAAGTCCAGGCAGTTCTCTAGAAACTGAGAGCAATAAGCTGCGAGACAACTGCACCCGGGCAGCTCCCCGCCAGCGCAGGCACCAGCACGCTTGCTAAAGCTTCAGAGGAAGAGTGAGCGAGTTACTTCCCCCCACTCAGGGTTCTGAAATTGTACCTGAGTCTGAGCCCCAGCGCTGCTCCAGAGGCCAGAGAACCTTTTCCAGCAT